TCTGGCTTTGTATCACAGTAATGTTGACCTCATAAAATGAGTTGGAAAGTTGTCCCTCTTCTATTTTTGGATAAGATTTTACGGAATTAGTGTTATTCCTTCTTTAAATGTTTGTTAGAATTTGTCAGTGAAGCAATCTGGATTTTCTTTTTAACTACAAATACAAATCGTTTAGTAGATATTAGTACTATTCAGGTTACTTATTTCTTGAGTAAATTTAGGTGGTTTATGTCTTTCAAGGAATTGGTCTGTTTCATCTAGTTAAGCAAATAGGTATTAATACTGTTTTAATATTTATGTGGTTTATTTGAAAGCCTATGCTTATGGTATACTAAATTTCCATATGTATTGGTTCTATATATAAATTGTTTTTGGGGGCTGTTACTATACTAGTAGGATGTTCTTTTAATTAATGAAGCTATTTACAACATATTTTAATATTTTGATCATCTCTGGTCAATAGCAGTCTCAGAATTTTCTTGGCTAATCTCACAGCTTTGTATTTCATGTGAACTTAGAATCAAATTTCTTAATCGCATTAAAATTTTTATTGGGTTACAGAACATTTGTAGATTTACTTGGAAGAATTGATATCTTAAAAATAATGACTGTTTCTGTGCAAGGGTGGGATATGTTGCTTCATTTACTCATGCTTTTTATTTATTGTTTTTAGAGACAGGGTCTCACTATGTTGCCCAGGTTGGTCATGAACTCCTGGGCTTAAGTGATCCTCCTACCTCCACCTCCTGAGTAAATGGGACCAGCACTGAGTCACTGAGTCACTGAGCCTGGCTTATTCAAGCCTTAGTTTTATGTTTTTTTGATAGAGCTTTACAGTTTCCATCCCAGAGATCTTGCATATTTCTCACTATATGTATTCCTAAATGTTTTCTTCTGACGCTATTGTGAAAGGGATCTTTTCTTGAAATATATTTTCTTAGCTGGTTTTTTGATAGAATAGCTATTGATTTTTTTATATACTACTTTTGTAACTGGCTACTGTACTTACCTTTTACTGTTTCTTATGGTATTTCAGTTGTTCTCTTGGGTTTTCTGTGTATACAACTTTATAATGTGCAAACAATCATAATCTAGTTCCCTCTTTACCTACGTTTATGCCTCTTGATTCATATTACCATTTACTACTACAGTATAGGACCACCAGGAGCTTATATAGGGTACCCATGCCTGCTGAGGAATTGCAAAGAGGTGTTCCTGCCTCTTCATCTGTTAGATAAAGGCAGCTCTTCTTAGTGGACCAATTAGTTAAAAGTACCCAGCTGCACAAACCAATTAGATAAGGGTACCCCTGAGTGGACCTTTCAGCCAGCAGATCCAGCCTTAGGCCAGGGTAAGTGGAGCATAGACTAGATCTCAGCCCTGACTCTCAATTCTCATAGCTAGGTGCCCTTGTGTAGGGAAAAGCCCTCATAACTGGACACAATGGCTCTGGGTTACCATTTCCAGAACAGTGCTAGAAAACAATATTGCTGCTGACATTCTAATCTTGATTTTGTCTTGTGAATGCTTCTGTAGTCACCAGAAAATATTTTTGCTTTTGATGTGAGAAATGTGTTTTTAGCACATTATAGATGATTTTGTTTCTGAGGATTTTTTTTTTAAGTATCTAAGAATAAATGGAAAATTGTATCAAATGCTTTGGTAATTTATTGACATGATTATGGTTTCATTCCTTTGACCAAATGATATAATAAATTATACTAATAGAAATAATAGTGGTGAAAATAGTGAATCATTCTTATATTTCTGGAATAAAATTTCCATTTGCTCATGATTTATTATTAATGCACTTCTAGATTCTATGTGCTGGCAAGGATTTTTACATCTTCTCTTTACTAAAAATGGGCTTTAGTTTTTTTTTAAAAAGCTATAATTGTCAGATTTGGGTATCATCATTAGTTAACCTGATTTTTGTGTGTGTGTGTGTGGAAGTTTACTCTCACTCTGCTTATGGATTAATTTAAATAGCATTAGAATGACCAATTGCTTGTAGTTAAAAATAACTTACCCATTTGAGTTTTTGCACTTGCGCTGCTTGGAGGACTCTGACAAATTTCTCAATTTCTTAAAAAGTTTATGTGAAGAAATATTTAGGTTTTTAAAAAGTCTCTTACTGTATTATGATAGTAACTGCTATTTTCCTAATCAACCCATCCAAGACAGATTGACAAATTTATTAGCATAGTGTTACAAAAAGCATTTAATTTTCTGTGCTATGTTAGGTATTTTTTCCTTTTCATTCTTCATTAATACGTCTGACAGTGTATTTGTTTGTTTTTTTTTTGTATTAACTGGATGTGCTAGTGGATTATTTATTTTAGGGGTTTAATTTTCTCTATCTGTCCTTCTTTTTTTTGAGACAGGTTTTCTCTCTGTTATCCAGGCTAGAGTGCAGTGAGCGATGATCGCTCACTGCAGCCTCAAACTCCTGGGCTCAAGCAATTCTCCTGCCTCAGCCTCCTCAGTAGCTGGGACTACAGGCACGCACCACCATGCCCAGCTAATTTTTTGTATTTTTAGTAGAGACGAGGTTTCACCATGTTGACCAGGATGGTCTCGATCCCTTGACCTCATGATCCACCCGCCTCCGCCTCCCAAAGTGCTGGGATTACAGGCGTGAGCCACTGCGCCCGGCCTAATTTTTGTATTTTTAATAGAAACATGGTTTTACTGTGTTGGCTAGGCTGGTTTCAAACTCCTGACCTCAGGTTATCTGCCCATCTCAGCCTCCCAAAGTGCTGGGATTATAGGCGTGAGCCGCTTTGCCTGGCCTAATTTTTATATTGTTAGTAGAGACAGGGTTTTATCATGTTGGCCAGGCTGGTCCTGAACTCCTGACCTTGTGATCCGCCTACCTTGGCCCCCCAAAGTGCTAGATTACAGGCATGGACCACTACGCCTGGCCTTTTAATTTCTTTTGTGCAAAGTTACAGGTGCTTTCACATGAGAAAAAATATATGCCCTTTGTTTTCCCCTCTGGTAAAATGTTTTCTGTAAATGAAAATCTCATTTTTGTTATAATAATAGTATCTAAAAATTAAAGCATATATTACACTTGGGATACAAAAAGATTGATAGGAGGAACTTTCTGCTATCTGAGGTATTTTTCTTTCTCACAATCATTTTTGCTTCCTTCACACCCCTACAAAGACTGTATACCCTTTCATTCATTCATTCATTAAATATTTACTGAGTTCCTTCCAGGTGCAACCTCTGCTCTTGTGTCTGGGAATTCAGTGTTGGGGGGAAAAAAAAAACCAGAACAAAAAATTCCTGCTTACACAGAGCATACATTCCAGTAGGGATGTCAGATTAAATAAGCAAATAAATAGCATGTAAATCATTTAAAAGTGCTAAGAAGGAAAATAAACATGGAAAGTTGATATGACATCTATAGGGATATTGAAATTTTATATAGAATGGTCCAAAAGTCCTTATTGAGAAGGATAGATCTGAAAAGTAGGGGGGCTAGCAGTGTTGATACACAAGGGAAGTGTGTACTTGACAAAGGAGTATGAGTGTCAAGGTGAAAGTGTGTTCAGTGTGTTTTAGGAATAGCAGCTATGCCTGTGACACAGGAGCAGGGAGAAGGAAGGAAGTAAAGTAGTAGACACAATGAGATGAGGAAGTGAACAGGAACTATGTCATGTAAAACTGTGTAGTTTATTGTAAGGCAAGCCTTTTACTTGGAGTGAGATATGAGCCAGTAGACAGTTTTGAGTAGAGGAGGAAGTGTGATCTGACTCAAACAGGGTCACTGTTACTGGTGCTTGGACAGTGGATTGCAAGGTGGCAAGGACAGATGTGGTGACACCACCAAAGAATGTATTGCAGAAATTCTAGCAAGGGACCATAAAAATAGGGGTGGGGAAAGGTGGTGAATTCTAGGTCTATTTCAAAGGTAGAGCCAACAGGATTCGCTGACTAACTGGATTTAGGCTGTGAAAGAGAGAGAGAGAAAGAAGTAAACAATAACCCTGAATAGAATGAAATACTGTTGATATTTTGGTATCTAACCTTCCAGTTATTTATAAACACATTCATGATTTTATATTTTTTTAAATAAAAATTGAAGTAATCCTCTACCTACTATTTGTAATCAGTTTGTTCTGTAACATGTTACTTTCCTGCATCATTAAAAAAGAAGGACTAGTGAGGTGGCTCATGCCACTAATCCTAGCTCTTTGGGAGGCCGAGGTGGGTGAATCATTTGAGGTCAGGAGTTTTAGACCAGCCTGGCCAACATGGTGAAACCCCATCTCTACCAGAAAATACAAAAATTAGCCAGGCGTGGTGGTGCATGCCTGTACTCCCAGCTACTTAGGAGACTGACTAAGTAAGGAGAATTGCTTGAACCCAGGAGGCAGAGGTTTCAGTGAGCCGAGATCATGCTGCTACACTCCAGCCTGGGCGACAGAGCAAGACTGTGTCTCAAATAATAATAATAATAATCATCATCATCATCATCATCATCATCCTGTATAACTCAAAGAATGGAACTGGTATTAACAGAGGTGAAGAATACTGTAGGACAATCTGTTTTAACAGGAATAAGAAAGCCCAGTTTGGCCATGTCAACTTTGAGATGAAACACATGGAAATGTTAAGTAGGCAGCAGGCAATTGGGTATCTGGGTCTAGAGTTCGAGCTGAGGTCTAGGCTGGAGATACAAATTTAGAAGTTATCAGCATATAGATGGATTCAAATCTAAGAGCTGTGTGAGATCACCAAAGGAGCGCACAGACTGAGCCCTGGAGTACATTTAGAGGTTGGGAAGAGGAGGTAGTATCAGCAAAAAGACTGAAAAGGAATTACTAGAATGATAGGAGGAAAAGTAGTCCAGCACAATGATCTGGAAGCCCCAAAGAAGAAAGTTTTCAAGGATGAAAAAAGTAACTCTTAACACTTTTGTACTATGCATAACATTTCCCCTTGTTTGTTTCCTGACTAGTGGTGAGCCCTCCTCTTCAGCTATAAAAATGGCAGTGTTCAGAAAGTTAAAACTTCTTCTCTGGAAGAATTTCGTCTTAAAGGTGGGTATGGTTATCTGTGGGAAGATGTAAGTCCTTGGGAAGGATTGAATGTTTAATTGGTTTATAATAATGGGTTAAAGAACAATTAAGAACTTTGCATGTAAAGGGGCCCTTTTCTGCAAATGAGTCATGTAATTATTAAAGATGACATCATTGTTACTGATTTTTGACCATTGGTGTTACAGAAAAGCTAAAAGGAGATGTTTCAAGCAATTCTTATTCTGTGTCTTTCTTTTTCATGTGTTGTGCAGGGAGGTTGGAAGAAATTAAAGTGTTCTAAATGAAAGAGGGTTTATCACATAGCGACTTACACTCGTGTTCTGTTTTGGGTTAACATTTAGTTTTTGTTTTTATTTTAGAAACAGAAGACTCTGGTAGCAATTCTTGAAATCTTGATGCCATTGCTATTTTCTGCAGTTGTATTGTATCTTCGTTTTCATAGTACTCCAGTGAAAAGACCTTCTAGTAGCTACCATCCAATTGATGTCAGTACATTGCCAGAATTCTTCCATTATTTTTCTCTGAAAAAGAGATTTCAACTAGCTTATATCCCTTCCAGGAGTGAAACTTTGAAGGCTATTGTCGAAATGGTGGGACAGACCTTTGAGTTTGAAGGTTAGACATAAAGATGGGTAAGGATTGGGAGGATATTTTTATAAAGTATAGTTTGAAGTTTTTCCCTGAGAGTTCTTACAGTAGTGATTTTAAATCTGGGATCTCCAGATTCTAAAGACCCTATGAGGTGGTAGCTATGGAAAAGCTGTCCATGAGATATTTTTATTATTTCAAACAACATATAGAGTCTTGTCTATATATGTGAGAAGACTTCAAGGCTAATTGAAATGTTAAGTATTTGTTTTTGATGGAGGGATTCAAGATGGCCGATTAAGAGCAACTCAGGATTGCAGCTCCCAGCGAGAGTGCGGAGGGTGAGTGGACACCACATTTCCAGATGGATTTTTATTGCCCACAGACCAGGAGATTCCCGGGTGGAGGAGCCCCACGGGTCACCAGTGCAGCTGTTTTGGCCAGCACGGCAGGTCTCTGCACAAAATACACAAGTGCAGGTGCCATTTTAACTGGCAATTGGAGCACCTGGGAGACAGAGTCACCTGTTCAATTGATAAAAAGGGGACTGAAGCAGGGAGCTAGACCAGGAGATTCCCAGATGAAAAAGTGCCACGAATCTCCAGCGTGGCTGTTTCAGCCGGTGCAGTGGGTCATCACTCAGGAAATCACACAGATCCAGGTGCCTTTTCAACAGGCGACTGGAATGCTTGGGAGACAAGAGTCACCCATTCAACTGAAAAAAAGGGGACTGAAACAGGGAAACAGGTCAGGGGATTCCTGGGCGAAAACGCACCACGAGCCCCCTGTGCGGCTGTCTCAGCTATTGCAGTGGGTCTCTGCACAAAATCTCACACAAATCCGGGCGCCTTTTCAACTGGCAACTGGAACACCTGGGAGACAAGAGTCCCCCGTTCAACTGAAAGGGGACTGACACAGGGAGCTAGGCCAGGAGATTCTCCAATGAAAAAGTGCCATGAGCTTCCAGTGGCTGTTTCAGTGAGCGCAGTGGGTCTACGCACAAGAAATCACACAAATCCCAGTGCCATTTCAACTGTTGACTGGGACGCCTGGGAGATGGAGTTGCCTGTTCAACTGAAAACAAAAAGAGGGGTCTGAGGCAGGGAGCCAGGTGATCAGGGTCGGCCGGTCACACCCCCACAAAAACAGCAATCTGAAACGCTCTAGATTGAGAGTTTCACAGCAAGCACAGCTGAACCCGGGATGGTCCAGCTCTGTGGGGGAGGAGCATCTGCCATTACCAAGGCAGTCCACCACTACTGAGGTAGTCTGCCATTGCCGAGGCGGCCCACCATTGCTGAGGCAGTCTGCCATTAGAGAGAGAGTCCACCATTACAGAGGTGGGCCACCATTGCCGAGGCAGTCCTAACTATACCCCTATAAACAGGACTGCAGGGGAGATCGCATAGCAGCTTGGCAGAGCCCACAGCAGCTCGGCAAAACCTCTGCAGGCAGACTGTGACTAGCCTACCTCCTTGCTGGGCAGGGCAGCCCTGAAAACAGGCAGCAGCATGACAGAAACTTATAAATAAAGCTCTACCTTCCTTGGACAGAGCACCTGGGGGAAAAAAAGGTGTTTATGAGTTCTGCTGCAGCAGACTTAAATGTACCTGTGCAGCAGCTCTGAATGAAAGAACAGAGCTCACCGCTCACACTTGAGCACCTATGAAGGACAGATTGTCTCCTCAAGCAGCTCCCTGACCCCCGTATATTCAAAGAGTCACCTCATAAAGGAGAGCTCAGACTGACATCTGGCAGGTATCCTTTTGGGACAAAGGTAGCGGAAGGAGAACCTGGCAGCGACCCTTACTGTTCTGCAGCCACTACAGGTGATCACCAGGCAAGCATGGCCTGGAGTGGACCTCCAGCAGTCCTACAGCAGAGGAGCCTGACTGTTAGAAGGAAAACTAAGAAACAGAAAGAAATAACTTCATAATCAACAAACAGGACGTCCACTCAGAGACCACATCTGAAAGTTAACAACTACAAAGACCACAGGTAAATAAATCCACAAAGATGGGAAGAAACCAGTGCAAAAAGGATGAAAACACCGAAAATCAGAATGCCTCTCCTCTTCCAGGGGATCACAACTCCTCACCAGCAAGGGAACAAGGCTGGATGGAGAATGAGTCTGATGTTTTGACAGAACAGGCTTCAGAAGGTGGGTAATAAGAAACTTCTCTGAGCTAAAAGAACATGTTCTAACCCAGTGCAAAGAAACTAAGAACATTGAAAAAATGTTTGATAAAATGCTAACAAGAATAAACAGCTTAGAGAGGAATATAAATGAAACGATGGAGCTGAAAAACACAACATGAGAACTTCATGAAATGTACACAAGTTTTCAGTACTGAATTGACCAAGCAGAAGAAGGGATATCAGAGGTCAAAGATCAACTCACTGAAATAAAATGAGAAGGCAAGATTAGTGAAAAAAGGGTAAAAAGAAATGAGCAAAGTCTCCAAGAAATATGGGACTATATGAAAAGACCTAATTTACGTTTGGTAGGTGTACCTGAATGTGACAGAGAGAATGAATCCAAGCTGGAAAATACTCTTCAAGATATTTTCTAGGAAAACTTCCCCAACCTAGGAAGGCAGGCCAATATTCAAGTCCAGGAAATACAGAGAACACCACAAAGGTACTCCTCAAGAAGAGTAACCCCAAGGCACATAATCTTCAGATTCACCAGGGTTGAAATGGAGGAGAAAATACTAAGGGCAGCCAGAGACAAAGGTCGGGTTACACACAAGGGGAAGCCCATCAGACTCTCAGCAGATCTCTCAGCAGAAACCCTATAAGCCAGAAGAGAGTGGGGGCCAATATTCAACATCCTTAAAGACAAAAACTTTCAACCCAGAATTTCATAGCCAGCCAAACTAAGCTTCATAAGTGAGGGAGAAATAAAATCCTTTACAAACAAGCAATTACTCAGAGATTTCATCACCACCAGGCCTGCTTTACAAGAGCTCCTGAAAGAAGCGCTAAATATAGAAAGGGACAACCAGTACCAGCAACTCCAGAAACATACCAAATGGTAAAGAGGATCAACACAATGAAGGAACTGCGTCAACTAATGGGCAAAACAGCCAGTTAGCATCAAAATGGCAGGATCAAATTCACGCATAACAATAACCCTAAATGTAAATGGGCTAAATGCCCCAATCGAAAGACACAGACTGGCAAATTGGATAAAAAGCCAAAACCCATTGGTATGCTGTATCCAGGAAACCCATCTCTCATGCAAGATACATAAGGGCTCAAAATAAAGGGATGGAGGAAGATTTACCAAGCAAATGGAGAGCAAAGAAAACGCAGGAGTTGCAATCCTAGTTTCTGATAAAATAGACTTTAAACCAACAAAGATCAAAAGAGACAAAGAAGGACATTACATAATGGTAAATGGATCAATGTAACAAAAAGAGCTGATCCTAAATATATACACACCCAATACAGGAGCACCCAGATACATAAAGCAAGTTTTAATGACTTACAAAGAGACTTAGACTCACACACAATAATAGTGGGAGACTTTAACACTCCCCTGTCAATATTAGATCAACGAGACAGAAAATTAACAAGGATATCAAGGACTTGAACTCAGATGTGGACCAAGCAAACCTAATAAATATTTACAGAACTCTCCACCCCAAATCCTCAGAATATACATTCTTCTCAGCACCACATCACACCTACTCTAAAGTTGACCACATAATTGGAAGTAAATAACTCCTCAGCAAATGTAAAAGAACAGAAATCATAACAGTCTGTCAGACCATAGTGCAATCAAGTTAGAACTCAGAATTCAGAAACTAACTCAGAACCACACAGCTTCATGAAAACTGAACAACTGGCTCTTGAATGTTGACTGGATAAACAATGAAATGAAGGCAGAAATAAAGATGTTATTTGAAACCAACGCGAATGAAGACAACATACCAGGATTCCTGGGACACATTTAAAGCAGTGTCTAGAGGAGAATATATAGCAATAAATGCCCACATGAGAAGCAAGAAAAGATCTAAAATTGACACCCTATTGTCAAAACTGAAAGTGCTAGAGCAGCAAGATCAAAAAAATTCAAAACCTAGCAGAAGACAAGAAATAAATAAGATCAGAGCAGAATTGAAGGAGACACAAAAAACTCTTCAAAATATTAATAAATCCAGGAGCTGTTTTTTTGAAAAGATCAACAAAATAGATCACTAGCCAGATTAATAAAAAAGAAAAGGGAGAATAATCAAATAGATGCAATAAAAAACAATAAAGGGATATCACCACAGATTCCACAGAAATACAAACCATCATCAGAGATTATTACAAACAACTCTATGCACGTAAACTAGTAAACCTGGAAGAAGTGGATAAATTCCTGGACATGTGCATCCTCCCAAGCCTAAACCAGGAAGAAGTCAAAACCGTGAATAGACCAATAACAAGGGCTGAAGTTGAGGCAGCAATCGACAGCCTACCAACCAAAAAAAGCCCACGTCCAGATGGGTTCACAGCCGAATTCTACCACACATACAAAGAGAAGCTGGTTCCATTCCTTCTGAAACTATTCCAAACAATCAAAAAAGAGGGAATCCTTCCCAAATCATTTTATGAGACCAACATCATCTTGATACCAAACCCGGCAGAGACTCAACAAGAAAATAAAACTTCAGGCCAATATTCATGATGAACATAGATGTAAAAATCTTCGGTACTGGCAAATCAATTGCAACAGCACATCAAAAAAGCTTACCCACCATAATCAAGTAGGCTTCATTTCAGGGATGCAAGGCTGGTACAACATATGCAAGTCTATAAACGTAATCCACCACATCAACAGAACCAAAGACAAAAACCACATGATTATCTCAATAGATGCAGAGAAGGCCTTTGACAAAATTCAACAGCGCTTTATGCTAAAAACCCTCAATAAACTAGGTATTGATGGAACATATCTCAAAATAATGAAAGCTATTTATGACAAACCCACAGTCAATAACATACTGAATGGGCAAAAACTGGAAGCATTCCCC